ATCATTTATGAAATTTGTGAGCCATAGTGCCGAGTTTCTTTCTCAAAGTTTCTTAGAGTTCATCTTCAAAAATCCTTAGGAATTCACCTAAATTCCTTCTCTTTGAAGTGTGCTCTCCCTTGATGCTTGAACTCGGATGCTTCCCTCCTAGTTCTAGGTTGATTTCATCCGTGATTCCTCTAGTTTGCAAGTGTTCTTGAGTTGAAGAATCAAGTCTCCATTGAAGAAGATCCTGTCTAAGCAAAACCGTGGAGAAGAACCTCCATTCACTTCTCCTAGTTTTGCTATCATTTGGTTACAAGAAATGGATCTCCACACAAATGAGAACTTACATATGATGCATTTTATATGATTTCGAAGCAAAATTTTCAGTTTCTTTCTATGCCTATATTCAAAATTTTCACATAATAGATATCTTTGGTTTACATTGTCCCTCATCTCCTTTTAATTTGCATGAGGTCTTGATGCTTATTCATGTCAAATTCAGAGTTTACCAAAAGGATCATGGGCCAGAGGAGTCCTTAGTGATGCTGATAACCCTACTGAAGAGAAAGTGGATGAAGTATTGAACAAGTTTCTCAAAGACTTCCAAGAAGGTTCATTAGAAAGTAAAGTGGTTCTGGTTCTCTTGGAGGTGCAAGTGTATCTCTGCAGATTTTTATCACATCCAAGTTCTGGGAACATAATAAAGGATTCAAATAAATAGAAAATAATTAAAATAAAAAAGTCATATAAAATGAGGGAAAAGGAATTAAGTTTCCTTCGAACACCAACTATATGCAACTAGATATACAACCATACAATGCGTAGATAATTAAATAAATGAATTATTTAAATTTTATTTAATTAAAATGTATATTTGTTGTATCACGATTATAACTAGAGGATGAAAATTAAAATAAAATAAAATCGTTATTAATATTTATTTTTAAGAAAATATTAGAAAAACCAATTAAAGAAAATGAAGGTCTTTAAAATTAAATTTTGTGTTTAGAAGTCATTTATATCTAAAGAAAATCAAAATATTAGCATTATACAACGCACATTAAAAATAGTTTTTTTTTATTTAATTAAATGTGTAACATTAATATTATTTTTAAAATTATTTATTTTATCTCTCGAAAGAAAACTAGATTATTTAGGTTTTATATTGTATATTATTTACTTTTAAAAATTTTATATTCAATGATTTTTATTATTTTAAGAAAAAAAATTATTAGATTTTTTTTTATCTTTTGAGTCGACAGAATGAATCCTTATTCTTTATGTATCCTCAAAGTATAATGAAAAAATTAGACTTACCTAATTTTTAGGTAAAAAAATATTCATGAGTTAATATTATTTATTTATTTATTTTGTTATTTAAAAAGTTGTTTGCATAACAAAATAAGAACATTTTAAAATGGTTATCACTTTAGACCTTAACTTGTCACAATAATCAAATAAAAAAATTAAAATAATTATCACTCATATATTTTAGAAGTTATATATTTAATATTTTTGGCATATCATTTACAATAATCAATTAGAAAGGAGAGCATTTTATTTGATAAGATTTCTGTAATAATCAAACACAAAAGCGATCTAAAAATAGCTATAGTTGATAACGTAATACCCTTTATATCTTAGAAGATATTTAATTAATTACACAAGATTTTATGTTACCTAGCTAATTAATTTGTTAATGTTGAAAACGTAGGTATTATGAATAAATTAGCAAAACGTAGGTATTTTATGTGTGTTGCGTGTCTCATTAATATTGTGCAATGCATGAGTGTCCAAAGGATAATGACTATTGTGCCTGAGGTTGCTTGCACGCTACAGCTACAGTGAAAGAAGCCGAACTAGTTGATTTTTTTTTCCAGTTCGGCCTTTTTGTCTTTTTCTGTCCTACCTCTCTTCTAAATGTTTTAATATAAAATGAATTTAGGACAATCCAATAAACACAAGAAAATGTTACTTCCTTAAATTTCCTCTATGAAAAAAGAAATATATTTAAAAGAAATAAAAGTAAATAAAATAAATTTTTTTATTGAGGTGATTTTATTTTCAAATTTTTATCTTTTTTTCTTTTAATATTTTATATTTTCTATTACATTTTTTATATTTGGACAAAATTGAAATGCAATGGGTGTCACAATCCAGAAAGTAAAATGAAATGGTTGTCATAACCCATAAAACTTAAAATGATTTCCCTTTTTCTTATATTTTTTCTTTCTTTTCTTTTATTTTTTAGTAAACATGTTGACAATAATGAATGAAATTAGGATCATAATGATTTTGGATCATGTAATAGTTTCATCTCAAACACAATTGTTTTTCACATTTAATTAAAATTTATTATAAATTATTTTTTTAGTCTTATTTCTTATTTTTCTTTCAGCATTACACATAATTTTATAATTTATTTTTACAAATTTCATATTTCTTATTTAGTTACCATAACACAATTTTATAATTTTTTTTTAAAAATTTCTTATTTCTTATTTAGTGACCACAACACATAATTTTATTATTATTTTTATTATAAATTTTAGTAGATAACAAACAAAAAAGTGCATTAAAATATACATATGTGTATTCATGATGGTCTCTAGTAATGAAAGAATTGGACCGTTTATCTTTTCCATGCACCACAAAAGACTTGGTGTATGTTTGAATTTTCTTTTGCAAAGCAAATGGACAATTCTCAAACGGACAATTCCAAATTAGAAGCAAGTGTGAGGTGTCTTTTTAGTTGAACATACGTTCACGTTTACACCAACGTTTATACAAACACACTATAAACACCCTTGGCCGTTGTGTTTTGAAAGAAAAGAAAGCTGCTCTAGGAAAGGGTGGAGTCGTGGAGAGGAGTTGTGAAAAGATAAGAGAAAAGGGTGAAGTTCTTGGAGGTATGGTTCTTCCTTATCATGCATATATGCTTAAATTTTGTTTCAGAACTTTTTTCATTTTTAATGCTTCTCTTTATCTCTCTCCCTCCACTTTTATTTTGCAATGCACTCGCCTCATAGTTATAGGTGTTATTATGTATGTTTTAAGAAAACAAGTAAATTACAACAATTACAAATAACTGATAATCGAACTCAGTTCCAACAACAAAATTTAAAATACTTTTGGATTTCTTTCAACAAAGATTATATAGTTTAATGTACCTTAATGTTTCAAGATTGGACCACCATCACACGGATAATTACAACTGCAAAGGAGCAACTATCTAGCAAGTTGCAAGCTGCCTTTCGCGGAAGGACAAGACCATATTCTTCTGTTTTGATCTTTTATTTGTTTTAAATATATTTTTTTATTTATTAAGATTAAAAATTACTTTTAAAAGGAATCACTAGTACTATAATAATTGTGAGTAATCGAAAGCTACAGTACAATGACCAATTTAGGAAAAAAGAAGATTCACGTGAACTAATTCTGAAAGCTACAGTACAATGATCAAACTAGGGGGAAAAATTCACGTTAACTAATTCCGAATACATGATAATTATTGTAACTTAAGTAACTCGAAAATAGTTTGAATTAATTAACTAGTCAAATTTGAGTTTAATTTTATATAATTTATGTCGTTTGATTCACAAATTGATTCAATATATAATTTATAAAATTAATTAACGTTTTATATGATTTCAAGTTATTAAAATGTGAAAGAATTTTTAAAATTAAGTTATATGTTAATAATAACAAAAAAAAATAAACATTTTACTTCCGGAATTTTTTATTATTTTATATAAGGTAAAATAAATTTTATTTATAAAAACTTTGATTATAATTATGTTATGTCTCGTAACATTACAAAATTAATAGGAGAAATTATATTATATTTTTTTAAAAATAAACAATTATTTTATTTAAAATTTATTATTAAATTAAAATTTTAAAATGTATAACATTATAAATTGAATTTTGATTCAAGTGATTCGAACAAAAGAACTAAATTAAATTATTAATAAGTTTGAAACGAATTAAGTTTAAATTAAGAAAAAATAAATTTATATTAAACTTGAGTCAAACTGTTAACCAAGTCAAATATTATTAAATTAAACTTATCCTCAACTTGACTCATTTGCAACCCTAATTATAACATAAATATCTATTTTAATTTTTATATATAAAATTGTAATTTCAAATTTTGGTTTTTGTTATTGTAAATTTGATAATAAAAAATAATATATTTAAATGTAAGACAAACATGTGACTTATTCATATTTAATATTGAAAGAATGGAGATTTGACATTGTAATTATTAATATTTGTCTTATTCATATTTTACTATTAAAAATATGACATTGACTACCACAGACAGCATATTTGCAATAGCTGGCTTGAAAGTTGAAACTGAAGATGGGAGAAGCTACAGAAAGGTAGCACTTTACTACTGAGATTTGGGTTATTCATATATTTAGTATAAATGACAACCATAACAGGTTTGCATTGCAATAATTAAACTTTTTCCTTTTTTTTTCTTTTTATTTGTTTACAACTATCAATTCCCAATTCTATTGTTGAATTCAAATAATTAAAATTTCTGAATCCTTATAAGCTTTGAATTTGTCAGGTATGCAGTTGTGACAGGTGCAAATAAAGGAATTGGATTGGAGATAGTTAGGCAATTAGCTTCAGCTGGAATCAAGGTGGTTCTGACAGCAAGAAATGAGGAAAGGGGTCTCCAAGCACTGCAGACACTCCAAGCCTCTGGTCTTTCTCACCTTGTTCTCTTTCATCAACTGGATGTGGCTGATGCTACAAGTGCAGCTTCTCTTGCTCATTTCATCAAATCTAAATTTGGAAAACTTGATATTCTGGTAACATATATATGCAACTTTCACACTTCTCTCTTTTTATGTTTCATTCCTTCTAAATGGAAGTTTCTCACAGCAATTCTGTAACTGTATGTTTGAGCTTCAATTAAAAAGATAAAAGATAAAATAAAAATGAGACACTCATTAACATGATGAACTAAAAAATGTATATTTTATTTATATTAAGGGTATTCACCTACATGATTAGATCAGTCTTCTATATGAAAAAAATTTGGTTAGGTGAGGAGATTTCATAAACGACTTCACCTAATTCTTTAATTTTTGTTGACTATCAATAACATAATTATATAAATTTTTTAATATTTTTTATTAATTCATCGTTAATGTTCAATTAATTTGATTTAAAATTTATATTCGATCTAATTTTTAATCGAATCTAATCTAAGCGATTTGGATTTGACCAGTTTTTTATTTTAATTTTAGTTTTTTCTTATATTTACTTTTCAATTATTAAATGAATAGTAAGTCATATAATAAATATTAATTGAGAAGAAGTACTTCGTACTTCTTAATATTTATTTAAAAATGAAATTAAAAAGAGACATATGCCAAGTGGAGATAGTAAAAGATTAATGATGATTTGTTTAAAAGACAACTAAGTATAAAAAAGATACTTTACCCTTTCGTGTGAATAATTTTTTAGCAGTTACTCAGGGGGTAGGAGAATTTTTAAAAATAAATTTATGAAGAAAAAAGAGAATAAAAATTAAATAAAAAAATTGTGGGACAAAAAGAATGCTTTGAAAGTTAAACAACAAAACAGTGAATAAAATATATACATAGATATATCACTTTTATTAATAAGTATAAATAATTAAAAAAAAATGTTAAATATCTCGTCTATAAGTCATCATATATATAATAGTATAGCTTCTCATTTCTCAAATATATGCTATTAATATAAATCTACATAAATTGATAATTATATACGTTTATTATAATACTAACAAATTTTTCAATTAAATAAGAAATTAAGATGTAAATATGAATGTATCATATATATATATATATAT